TTTTTTTTTTTTTTCATGGTTTCACTTTGTAGTGCAGACTAGCCTTAAATTAACTGGGTAGCCTAGGCTCAGCTTGAACTCACAGTGATCCTCCTGCTTCAGCCTTCTGAGTACCTGAACTACAGGCAAGTACCAGCTTTGAAATCTCAGACCACAGTTATCCAGCAAAACCATGTACTTATTGACTCCCTGAATCTATAGTGCAGACAATCGAGGAAGAGATGATAGGAGTGAGAAAACAGGGAATCTATCTTACTTTTTAATCAAAACAAGAAAGGGCCTTTCCCACTAATTGGAACAGGCAACCTAAGTCTCCTCATCAGCAAATGTAATCCCAGAAAGGAAAAGATAATACTATGGGAATCAGCATGGTGTTAGTATTCCACGAGCTCTATGTGTCAGGTGCTCTTGAATTCCCATTACATATGTACCCTAGCACACGTCTACTGAATGGGCACAACTGCTCTCTTACTTTACACTTAAGGAAACAGAGGCCTAAACAAGCTTTTTGCCCCGACTGTGCTGATAAGTGCTTGAGGTAGGGTCCAGACCCAGGGCTTGTAGGCTAAGAAACAAGCAAACATAGAAAAGACAGCCCAGGAGTTGACAAAAATACCAGCCTGAGACTCTGGACAGAGCACATTGGATCAGGTTCTGCACCCATGGAAACGCTCCACAGAGAGCCACTAGCACAACAGCAAGTTAGAGGCCACGACAGAAGGCCACGACAAAGAGGCCTTAGGAGAAGGAAGGAGCAGTTCTCAGGCAGAACATGAGACGACCCACCTCCAGGCAAACTGAGAGAAGCAGCGCACTGAGACCTGCGGAAGGCGGGAGGCCAGGATGGGCCAGCTAGGGCTGCGCCAGTCTAAAGTGAGCAAGGACTTGTAAAGAAAGTGCAAAACGTTTCTTCTCTGGATGTTTTTCAGAAGCTAATGGATTTTCAAGCAAACAAGTTGAATTCACCTCTGCCCAAATGCCACTAGGTGTCCCTCTCTTCCAAACCCTGAGGGCCTATCAGAGGTTGGTGGCGAACCTATAGCACAAGTGTTAATGTGGTTGTTTGTTTGTTTGTTTGTTTGTTTGAAAAAAAGGCCAGGGAGATGGCTCAGTAGAATAAGTGCTTCCCTGGCAAGCACAAGGGTCTGAGTTCAATGCCCCATTCCACCAAAAAAAAAAAAAAAGTTTGGGGCCAGGGAGATAGCTCAGTGGAATAAGTACTTGCCTGGCAAGCGGAAGGGCCTGGGTTCTGGCCCCCGGTCCCCAAAAAAAAAAAAAAAAAAAAAAAAAAAAAAAAAAAAAAAAAAAAAAAAAAAAAAAAAAAAAAAAAAAAAAACACTAAAATTCATACCAACCTGGAGATAGAGAAAGAAACCTTACTTAACACTGATGCAAGGTCCAATGGGCTTCTTAGGACTCATTTTTACTGGAGATGGAGTGCCAGAAGCATGCTGCTGCAGGCTACCCCACAAGGTGGTATTTAATAGCTGTTCAGACCTCCCCGGGGTTCCCAAGAGTTAAAAGCCGTTCTTTGGAAGATAGATGAGAATATAAACACTCAACAGGAAATTCACTTACTCAACAGCTTTAAATTTCCTCTTTGCCCATGTTGGAGGTTTTGTGCATAGTGCTGAACAAAAGTGAATATTGCCCTTGCTTTTGTGTGATTTTACTACTGCAGAAAACTTACTTTAAAAGATGGTGGCTACTACTGTTTTCCTTTTCCTTTTTTTTTCAAAGTTTTATTGATAAACAGATAGCAATGAGACAGTTTCAAATCAAATCGGAAGTACAGTTTCAACAAATAATACACTGCATATATTCTTCTTAGTGGTTAATTGCTGTACAAGAAGCAGACTTGAGATCCTACTTACAAACACCATTAGAAAAAATCATTCTATTCATTAAGAGAATGCAACTATATATCTATCCTAACCACTTTAAATACACAGATACAAAATGGACATTCATCGGTATACCCCATTTTACTACTGTTTTTCTAGATTCTGTCACTAAATACATAAGGAAATTTCTCAGAAGAAATACATGATGGGTTTAGGGGAATTGCCAACTGTTGGTTTGGAGGCATTTTGAAGAGTAGGTAAAAAGTTTGGTTGCTGCAAGTTTTTCTAATCTTTGTTTGTTTTAGTTGGTTCTTATATCAATATGAATTATAAAACTATAAAAATACCTAACTATAAAAATCAATACCTTATTAAGTCAGATCATTTTGTGGTGACTTTCACCCTTCATTGTGGTCATATCTGCAAAGATTACAACCAGATGGACTTGAACATTGCTGAACCTTCCTCATTGCTTGGACTCTGGGTTGTTTGCTTTGCTAAATTTTGATTATGCAGACCTTGGGTACTTTAATTCCTTGGGATTATTCTTCTGATAGCTATTGCAATATTCTCCCTGATATGTTGTAGACCCTCAAGAGTCTTCAGTGTATCAACTCAGCTCTTCTTAGAACAAGGAGCAATGTCATTATGGCTACAATAACAGAAAGACAAGGAAGGCAGAATGAGTTATCCAACTAAGGTGACACCATGACTTCTGAAATCTGTACTGAGACCAAATAAGTCCAATACAGTGATGACCAAAAGAGTCACCAGTACCCAACCAAGGTCAAATCTGAAAGGCTGGCCCACAGGGGAAGACTGAATTCAACTCACGTTCACCTCTAGTTTCCTCCTTACAATCTATTTAACATGTAAACAAGCTCTCATCTAACTTTAGCAGCCTAGCTTTCAGTCAAGCACAGGCTACAAATTGCATCCCCAGATGGCCAAGTGCTGAGCAGTAGCCACTCAAGCTATTTCTACAGGTCACTTCTTTTATCTGTCTATAGGTTCTGCCTCTTCATGTGACTGGATTGAGCTCTTTAACCTTGTACTGGAACAAGGTGCTGCTCCCTTCATGAGACATTTCTTTTTTCAAATAAACTGCTACATGTATTATGTCCAAAGTTGTATCACATTGCTTCAGAGGCTGGGCAACTTGGCAAAGTCACCCTAGTAAAAAGTAAAATCAGACAGACGCCCAGCTCAGAGGTCGAACTCCTGAGCCCATCTTCAGAATCATTGGGTTCTCACCCTTTTCCAGGGCTCTGTTGCATCCCTCTGATCTGCCTGACTTCCCTTCAGATAAGAAATCTAACAAAGATTCCCTTTTACCTTCTCTCCTAGAAGGCCAGATTATTTAATCTGTTACCCTGGCCACAAAGAAATCTTCTGGGAGAATGCCAAAAAAAAAAAAAAAAAGAAAAGAAAGAAAAGAAAAGAAAAGAAAAGAAAAGAAAAGAAAAGAAAAAGACCATGTAGTGAGAAAGGTAGCACAGAATTCTGGCTTACCAGGACATTTTCAGACATTCTGTAAGAAGAGCTTTGCATCACAGAGCAGAAAATAATATAGACAGTCTCCCCTGGGAGATGTATTCCATGTGCCAGTTATAGCAATTACGGCAGGTCTGGGAAACAGCAGTAGACACTGAGAAGTATAGGCAGCCTGGGTTGCACCAGGTCCAACCTGATCCTACCTTCCTCCCCGCCCCCACTTAGAAAACTCCACACCACCTTGACCCTGCAGATGGCTCTTCTCAGTGTTTAACTTTTAGCATCAAGGACTCATTCACAGAGCCCTCCCTTGGCTGCCCAATCCAGAGGAGCCACTTCCGTAGAAGCCTTTCTCACAATGCCATCTTTTCATAGTGGAACTCATCATAAGAGGTAATGATTTCCTTGACTGACTTCCCTTCTCTTGTTAGTGTGTTATTAATTTTCTGAAAATGCTGCAACAAAATGTTAGAAAAACGAGCAGCTTGAACAACAGAAATGGATTCCTTCTCAGTTCTGGAGCAAGAAGCTCAAAGCTCACATGGGTACCCTCAGTATGCCACCCCAAGGGAGCCTCAGGGTAAATATTTCCCTGCCTCCTTCTAGTTCCTAGGCATAGCCACTGGCCCCAGGAACTTCTTAGCTTATGGCTGCATCACTCCAGCCTTCCTCTGCTGTACACAGCATTCTTCAAATATGTCTCTGCACCCAAATTTCCTTCTCAGAGGCCATCAGTCTTGTTGAATTATGGGTCCACCCTACTTTAGTGTGATCTCATCTTAATTTAGCTAATTATATCTGTAAATGACTAATGCTAGCTTCCAGAACTGTGAGAGAATACACTAGTGTCCTCTAAACTTCATAGCTTGTAGGAATTCCCCATAGCAGTCCTCGCACGCCACCACAGAAAAACTCACTGGGCTTTGTTAAACCCAGGGATTCACACCTTATAGGACCAAATAAATATGATCTCATTAGCTATCGACAACCCTTTATTCCTTTCGCGGGGAGATGTGTGTTTTAGAAAAGTAAATCTAGTCTTTTTGTTTTACAGATGAGGAAATCAAGATTCAAAGAGGATGATGACTTGAGTCCTCACACGTGGTAGGATGGAAATGGCTCAGACGCCATGTCCTGCCTGAGTTCTCTTGCCCATCAGGCAGTTTTCTCTTTCCTTTCCTTCTCAGTGTCTCTGGTAAGTGAAGTGCCTCGGGGAACCTTTGGCTTGCCCTTGAGCTCATTAGAAACAGAAGAGGTATTTTTTCCAACTAATGAAGGGAACTGTGAAGGAAATTACTTAATATTTTTCCCTCCAGTAAGAGAAGCTATTGTCACTAAACAGCAGTTGAGACAAATACATTCATGAGCAAGAGCACCTGATTCTATGTGAACTGTGACTAAAGTAGGCTGGGACTCAGTGCAATTATAGCTAGCTTGGTCTCCATCTCCATCCCAGCACCCTGTGTGCCTAAGGAGTGAGAGAAGGGATTGTGAGCATCTTCTATCTGCAAAGGAGCATAATTTGATTAACCCCACTGAGGATTCTTCTATCCTCTGCTTCTTCTCTTTTTTATTCCATAACCCTCCCAACCTCCCCAGGCACGCACAAGGCACCAGAACAATCCACTCAAGCCCTTGCACAGAGAAGCCCACTTCTCCTACCTTCCACCTGGTAGGCTGCGGTGGCTGCCCCCCAACCAAATCCTGCTGGGAAAGCCATGATTCCAGAAGCTGCAAACAGGAGCTCAACATCTCGTAATCAAGGAGCCAGGGAACCAAACAGTGTGAAGTGAACTCTCACCCTAGTGCAAAGTATCAACATGTGCATGTACAAACAAACTCACAGGCTGCTAGATAAAGGTTCAGCCTTGCTGAGAATGCAGGTCATTGTGCACGAGATAAATAACTGCACATTCTTCCCCAGCCTGCCCCTTGGCAAGTGTCGAGTTAACCTTTTCACTTTTAATGTAACCCATGGATATTGTTTATTAAAGTTATATAGTTTGCTAGAACTTTCTCTTAGCCAAACTCCCGGTTCCTCATCTGTTCTGCTTACTATGTTCCATTTTCCATTGTATGTTCTGGTATTTGCTCCCATGTTGTTTAAATAATAGGGTGAGATCAGGCCCAGTGAGTGTGGGAGAGCTTGTGGCTACCCTGCGCCTCTAGGACCTACTGGTCCCAGCCCAGGCTCAGCATGGGTGAGACCCTCTTGCACCCTGTTTGGACACCTCTCACCACTCCGCAGCACCTCCCCCACCCCGCCCTCTGAGTAGGAATTTCTGCCACATTCTGGGTACCTCCAGACCCAGTCCTAGCATAGGCCCGGTGAGTGTGTGGGAGAGCTTCCAGCTACCCTGCGCCAGTGGAACCTACTGGTCCCAGCCCAGGTATAGCATGGGTGAGATCCTTTTCCATCCCCTTGGGACGCCCCCCACCACTCCGCAGCACCTTCCCTACACTGCCTGCCCAGTAGAAATTTCTGCTGAGTTCTGGGAACCCACAGATCCAGTCCTAGCCCAGGCCCAGTGAGTGTGTGGGAGAGCTTCCCGATACCCTGTGCTGGCTTGACCTACTGGTCCCAGCCCAGGTGCAGCGTGAGTGACACCCTCTTTCACGCTCTTGGGACACCGTCCATCACTCCTTAGTACCCCCCACATCCCACCCACAGAGTTGGAATCTCTGCCCCATTCCGGAAACCCCCAGATCAAGTCCTAGTCCAGCCCGGTGAGTGTGTGGGAGAGCTGTCTCTCCCTCCTATTCCACCTAGTCCCCTCCAGACTCAGCTCAGACCTGGCATACAAGCCTGCAGTGAAACTCTGCAGCTGCAATCCCTGCAGAAAGTGTAGGGGACAGAACCATCCAGCTAGTCCAGGAGCAGAACATCTTGGCAGAGGGGTACAACAGGTTCACCCCCAAGGGCAGCAGCAGGAAGGAGCTGAGCACAGCAGCCAGACCCAAGCCAGGCACACTTTAATAAATCCAAAATTTTTAGACCTGCACCTGAACTGCAGTAGGTGCTAAGGCTATAACTGCAACAAAGATCTACAACAAAGGTCAGAAGACAGTGCTACACAAAATGATGAGAAGGAAAAAAAATGCAATCTCAGAATGCAAGCTCACCCATAACAAGTACAGAGGACACTAACACAGAACAAATTGGGAATCACACAGCCGAAAGCAATGAATCGATGGCTTCTGAAATAAAGAAACAGCTGCAGAAAGGTACAGAGGAACTCAGATTGGAAATGAAAAAATGAATCCCTGAATTAATAACATCTGCAGTAAAGAATCAAATGCAGAAACATATGGAGGAAACCCAATGCCCACCCAGAACAAGTGCAGAGGACACTAGCTCAGCTCAAATCAATGAATTAATAGCATCGATAGTAAATAAGCAACAGCAGTAAGTTATGAAGGAACTCAGAGTGGAATTCTTTTCTGAAATAAAAAAAGAATTCTCAGAACTCATAGCATCGGAAGTAAAGAATCAACTACAGAAACATAGGGAGGAAACTCAATTTAAAAAAATCACTGCAGTAAAAGAATTTATAACTGTTTCTGAAGAAGACACTGACAAAAAAAATAGAAGCAATTAGAAAAATGACAGATTCCTTGAATAAGCAATACAGGAAAGAAATAGATCGCATGAAGCAGAGTCAAGGAGATATAAAGGAAATTAAAATCTCAATCACAAGTTTGCAAAACCATTTAAGTGAAAGTGAAGACAGAGTTTCAGATCTTGAAGATGCTGGTGCAGGTAGTGAAAAGGAAAGAAAGAATCTGTTAAAAACAACTAGGATGCAGGAAAGAATAATCCATCACATGCAAGATGATGCAAAGATGAACAATGTGAGACTAGTAGGCATCAATGAGAAAGAAGGAGTCAATACAAATGACATTTAAAAAAATGGGTAGAAATAATAGCAGAAAACTTCCCAAATATGAGGAAACAATCTGACATTCAGGTAACCGAAGCATACTGAATGCTAAATAATCTCAATCCAATTAAAAACACATCAAAACTTATAATACTCAAGATCCCAGAAATTCAGCCCAAGAATAATATACTGAAAGCCACTAGAGAGAAGAAGCAGATCACATGCAAAGGAAAACCCATCAGAATTACGGCTGACTTCTCTTCACAAACCATGCAGGCAAGAAGAGCATGGAGCAGAGTACTCCAAGTCCTCTATGAAAACAAATTCCAGCCCAGACTACTATATCTTGCAAAACTCTCTTTCAAGTTTGATGGAGAAGTGAAATACTTCCAGGACAAAGGACAGCTAAAAAATTTCGCGATGACAAAGCCAACCTTACACAAGCTACTGAAAGATGTTCTAGAGAGGGACCAAAATGATCAGAAATCCATGAATGAGATCGGAAGCAACCAACTAAATAGGGTAAGCAATTAAACACAGGAGAAAAAGGAGTAATCGATAACAGGTAAATAACATGGC